ACAAAGATCACTCTCATAATGGAAATGAGGACACTGAAGCTCAAATTGGTCAAACAAAGGTATGGACACAACAATAACAACAGTTAACACCTCGAAATTAACATGCCAGATACTGTTCTAAGTAAACTTTATCTTATTTAATCCTAATACAATCTGAGAGGTAGAGACTATTAAACATCTCCATTTTGTGAATGAGAAACCGAGATAAGAGGTTGAGGAACTGGTCAAAGACAATGCATCTGGTTAAGTGGTGGAATCAGAGATTTGAACTCAGGCAGTTTGGCTCTGAATTTAAAACCACTATGCTATACTACTCTTTATTAGAATTTTAAAACTGAAAAGGTCTTTGTCATTTTATATAGGCAAAAATCTCTCATTCTACAGAAGAGGAACTTGAGATTAAAAAAAAGGGGGGGGGGGGGGGACATGCCCGAAGGTCAGTCTCATTTATTAGCAGAGCTGACTAGAAACCAACTATGCTGAAGTAAATCAACATATCTGTTCTTTCATCTAACATTGTGTTAGTTCTTATCTAGCATTTAGAAAGGACAACACACAGTGGTTATTGAATAAATGATAAAATGATGGTCACATAATGGCAGAGCAAGAACTAGAAACCACGGCAAAGCCAAAATAGTCTTACTGAATCATGCTGCCCTTTCTCTTTGATACTAAACAAACCCTATAAAATACAAGTTATCCATACCTGAATTTTTCTTGGCCCGTGGATTATATCCATACTTCTGGAAAAGCTCTCTTATTTTTATAATATCCACTGAGGTTTTTTTCATCAGTACTTTTGTTGCCTTTATGAAACCAATGCTTTCTTGACTTTCCAAACTTGCTTTATCAAGAAGAATATTGACATTACCCTTTTAGGAGGAAAGAAAGTACATTATAGTTTCTCTAACTTTTTACTAAGTTTATTTATATTTTTAAAATGATAAATATTATAGGAGTGATACCTTTAGAGTCCGAACTTCTGAATTAAGGTCATGTAAAATTCTCACTGCATAACCTTCAAAGTCTTCAACATGAGTATTGAAAAGAAAAAGGAGGGGAAAATAGAAAATATAATTCAGTTTATTTTTAGAATTACAAAATTCTTGTAGATATTGATTTGTAATTTATATCCTGCTAATCACAAAGAAAAGTGTTAGGCCTTTCTTTAAAATTGTTATTAAACTACTAGAGGCCTGGTGCACGAAATTCATGCACGGGTAGGGTCCTTAGGCCTGGCCAGCGATCACGGCTGATCTGTGGAGTGACCGGCAGGGCAATCGGGGGGGGCCCCCCCGCTGGCACCTGCCTTGGAGGCGAATAGCAGGGCAATTGGGGGGGCGGTGCCGGCCCGCTCACCGGCCAGCCCCGCCCCCTGATCGCCCCACTGCCACCAGTCGCCTCCCTCTACGGGGTGACGGGGGGCCCCCCCACTAGCACCCACCTTGGCTGGCCTAGGGCCTGCGGGCTGGGGGTAGCTCCTGCATTGAGCATCTGCCCCCTGGTGGTCAGTGCATGTCATAGCGACCGGTAGTTCCGCCATTAGGTCGATTTGCATATTAGGCTTTTATTATATAGGATAACATACACATAGAAAAGTACAGAAATCCTAAGTATACAGCTTGATGAACTTTCAAAGTAAACACCTACATAATCAACACTCAGATCAGGAAGGGAGGGGGGGGGACAAGAGGTGAGAACATGGTCCTACTGAGCAATTTTTTCCTATATGGCAAGCACTTTTTGATTCATATTTTACAAATCTTCTTTACTGATAACACTTATATTTTCTTCTAAAAGCTTTATTGCTTTCCTTTGCATTCAGAAATAAAATCCATCTGGAATTGATTTTTCTGTATGGAATGAGATAAGGATGAAGACCCATGTTTTTTCCCCTGAGTATACAATTGACCTGGCACCATTTACTGAAAAAACATCCTTTACCCACTGTACTGTCACCTTTCTTATTAATCAGATGGTCCTATCTATAAAATAAAGGCAGTTTTTTAAAAAGAATTATGTTTCTTGCCCTAGCTGATTTGGCTCAGTGGATAGAGTGTCAGTCAGCCCATGGACTGAAGGGTCCAGGGATGGATTTGGGTCAAGGGCACGAACCTGGGTTGAAGGCTCGATCCCTGATCCTGGTTGGAGTGTGAGCAGGGAGCACCAATCAATGCTGTCTCTCTCACATTGATGTTTCTCTCTCTGTGTCTCTCCCACTCCCTTCCACTCTCTCTAAAAATCAATGGAAAAATATCTCCAGGTGAGGCTTAACAACAACAGCAAAAAAGGAATTGTATTTCTTTTTCCTAAAACATGTCTCCTTTGAAGATCTCCTTCTACCTGTTAAAAGTCAACCAATTTTCTGCTGGACCCATGTGGCTCAGTGGTTGATCGTTGACCCATGAACCAAGAGCCACTGGTTGGATTCCCAATTCCTGGTCAGGGCATGTGCCCAGGTTTCTGGCTAGATCCCCAGTAGGGAGCGTGCAGGAGGCAGCCGATCATGTTTCTATCTCTAGCCTTCTCCTTTCTTCTCTCTCTAAAATCAATAAAAACACATTAAAAAAAAAAGTCAACCAGTTTTCATTAGGGAAATGCAACTCTACACCACAATGATTTTCTACTTTATACACACTAGGATGTCTACAATAAAAAAGACAGGTAATAACAAATGTTGATGAGGATGTGAATAAATTGCAACCCCCATTCATTGCTGGTGGAACTATACAAATGGCACATCTACTTTGGGAAACAATTCACTTTGTTTTACCCAAGAGTATACCCAAGAGAACTGAAAACATTATATTCAAATGAAAACTTGCACATGAATGTAAAATAAATTGCTGATACACACTGACATGGATGCTAAGTGAAACAAGTCAGCCACAAAAGATCACATATGTATGATTCCATTTATATAAAATGTCCAGAATAGGCATATCTATAAAGAAAGAAGGTAGATTAGTGTTTGCATAAGACTAGTGTGGTAGATGGAGGTGGGATTGTGAGCTGCTAACAATCACATGGGTTCCTTTTGGGGATGATGAAAACCTAAACTTATTGTGATGACAGTTGTACAACTGTGAATATACTAAAAGACCACTGAATTGTATCCTTTAAATGCCCAATTTTGTGGTATTTTAATTACATCTCAATAAAAATGTTTAAAAGTCAACCAATTTAATGACATCACCGTGATAATAAAAGGTAAAACTTTTTTGTGACCATTTTCTCTAATGTTCACTATTCTTATATTTCCTGTAATATATATGGGCCTGGATTAAAAAAATTATTCCAACTTTTTCTTGTAAAACCAAAAGAAAAGGCAGAATTTGTGTACACAGTAATATGTTGGTAAGAAGGTAAATTTGCAAAAGCTTTGTGGAAAGCAATTCAGCTACATATCAAGAACTTTTAAAATATATGTATATACTTTTAAATAACTTTTAAAAACTATTTTTATTGATTTCAGAGAGGAAAGGAGAGGGAGAGATAGAAACATCAATGATGAGAATCACTGATCAGCTGCCTTCCACACACACCCCCACTGGGGATCCAGCCTGCAATCTGGGCATGTGCCCTGACCTGGAACCGAACAGTGATCTCTTGGTTCATAGTTTGAAGCTCAACCACTGAACACCACCTGCCCTGCAATATCAAGAATTTTAAAACGCAGCTGGCCCAGGCTGGGTAAATTGGTTGGTTAGAGCGTCCTCCCCATATGCCAAGATAGTGGTGCAATACAGTCAGGGCATATACAAGAATCAACCAATGAATGCATTAATTAGTGGAACAACAAATCATGTTTCTCTCCCTTCCTCTCTCTAAAATCAATCAATAACTTTAAAAAATAATTTAAAAAATAATTTTAAAATGCTAGTATACTTTCCTGTCTTATAGCATTATTTCAACTATGTAAACAAAATCCAAGAAAAATAAAGGAATTCTAAAAATAAGAACGATAGAAAAGCTACTAAAACATTGAGTGGTGTCCTCTGATGGTGCAGTTACAGGATATATTTATTTCTTCTATTTTTCTATATCTCAAAATTTTGCGATGCACACATACAGATAGTTTTTACAGTCACAAGAATAAACATTTTTAAATGGCTGGATAACCTTTAACAAAATAATTGAAGTAAAAGGACTCTACAGGATGCAATATTTTAAGGCACATTAAAATTATGACATTTATTAAGTCTGAACTACTCTTTCAATTTTAAAAAATCCCTAATACAAAGGTCAGTGAAGAATTTTACTTTACTTACCAAAAAAAAAAAAAAAAAAAAAAAAAAAAAGAGCAGTACTGAGTCCTGGTGTTTGTGTTGGCCACACTGTTTGCTGGGAAAAATAGACGTTTACTGCAACTGTGGACCATCACTATACATGCGGAGGGCAATGCTGAACAGCTGCACTGTAAAGGGAGCTAATTTTGTTCCATTTGTGTGTTAGTGATAAGTACAGATTCTGTACGACTAGCAAGCACACCAAGTGTAACTCAGGTGCGCAGGCTGAGCTCAATGTGTCAACTTAGGTTTGACTCGCACCACGTGTTTCTCCAGGCTACACAGCAACAGCGCTGCTTTTCTTCTCGGGAGGGCGCGGGGGTCAGCCCACCCCCGGGGCGGAGGAGCGAATCAGGGAGGGCGGCCCCAGTGACCTCCCGTGGCTGCCCTCTCCGCGCCGTCCGCATTCGTACCCAGCGGCTCCCTCCCACGGCGGATAACGGCCCACCCGAGGAGTGTGCCCGTTTCGACGCCACCCACCCGCCGCTCTCACCGCCATCTTCCCTCTCCAGCGCCCGCTGCAGCCGCGCCGTTTCGCTGTCCAAGGTGACCGCCAGAGACCGCAGCTTCGCACAGAAGCTCCGGATCGGGTCCATGGTGAGCACCCAGCGCCGCGGGCCCCGCCACTCGCTTGAATCCCCGGCGCCGGAAGTTTCGTTGGTCCCGCGGCTGGCGCACTAGTCCTCTCTCGCGGGAGCCGAAGTCTCGCGGGAGCCATCTCCCGCGGAGGAGGCCCACGCCGGGCGGAGCCAACGCACTACGGGCGGTGCGTCAGTCGGCGTGCGAAGGGACTCGGGCTCGCGAGGCGGTGGACTGGTGAGTGCCCTGGCTTTCGTGGCCACTCGGGGATCTTGGGTGGGCGAGGACTTCTCCGGAGACGCTGGTTGCCCCGGCGCCGGGCGCGTGGCCAATCCGTTCCCGGTCTCTGTTCGCAACAGGCGCCATGTTCCTGACCGCGGTCGTGCTCCGCAATCGCATCCCTGGCCGGCAGTGGATCGGAAAGCATCGGCGGCCGCGCTCCGTGTCCTTCCAGGCGAAGCAGAACACTATCCGCCGCCTGGAGACGGAGGCGGAGAACCACTACTGGCTGAGCGCTCCCTTTCTTAGCGCCGCGCAAGAGTTCGGGCACGCCGCGGCCCGCAGGGCGGCCGCCTTCCAGGCCATCAAGGCGGCCCAGGAGGCCAAGTTCCCGCCGCACCGGCGGCTCGTCGACCAGCTCAACCACCTCAACGTCACCAAGAAGTGGTCCTAACGACCGCGCCCTGGAACCAGGAGCGTTAGAGACTGTGACCGCCAGGAAACTCGGCTTGGCGCGGTAAACAATACACCGTACAGATGACATACTGTAGTGTAGTATACCTGAAACCTGTATAATTTTATTAACCAATGTCACCCAATAAGTTCAATTTTAAAAAATGACCTTTGGACCAGAGTCGTGAGCAGAGCGTTCAGAACATCAGGTCTTCAAGCTCCAGCTTCTCTCTCGTGTTTCTGTTTCTTCACCCGGGTTATAGTGATGTAAGATGCATTTTGGGGGAACCTGTGATGAAACTGCAAACTAATGGTTTGAAGTCTGTATGTGTGACATCCAGTGGGTTGCCTAAACGTAAATGAAAACAAGCTTTGTCAGTCAAATATATTCCTAAAAATGTCTTTTTTTTCTTCTACCAACAGTGGACATTAAAATGAAGTAAAACGGTTTTTACCAGAACTGTTGCATGAAGGTGTGTTTTAAAAAACTTTATCAGAAAAAAAACTTTATCGGGATAAAATTAACATATTATACAGTTAATCAGCTGTGGATCTTTTCTTTCAAATAACCTTTTTCTGGATAAAAACAGTCAAGCACTTTTACATGTGTCACCCGATACAGTAATTCTATTGAGGCAGGTTAGTAAGAAACTAGGAAAATTCCCAGGTAAGTGGAATGGAGAAACAGACAAATGGCTGAACAAACTTGAAACTGCTGAGCAGAGATTCTGTCTTCCCTAACCAAAGATAACTAATGAAAAGGAAAATGGGGGGCAGGGGGCAGGGGCAGGAGCAGGAGGGGAGTTTGCAACCTAGTTCAGTATCTGGTTAAAACTGTAGTCTTACTTCCCCACTCTGACTGACTTGGGCGGAGCTGCAGAGCCTAACCCCAGGGCCCCACCACAGCTGACTTGGGCAGAGCTGGGGAGCAGGCCCCCACCTGGAGCTGCGGGGACCCTCAGGGGCCCGTCACAGGAGGAGATGCATAGGTCAGAGCCTCCCCACAAGTTGGGTTCAGGCTTTGGATCCGGAATTCCCCTGGACTAGCAGATCTTCGAAATAAAGGGTAAACTTTCCTCCCTCAGAGTGCCGGCTGATCACTCTCCGGTGCATTCTGCCACAACACTAAGAGCAGGTGGTTTAAATCACCTTAGGGAGATAACAACAAAACACAATTAGAATCAGACTAATCCAAGATAGAAGTGAAACTAATCAGAAAATGACCCCAAACTTCCTTATACTCTGAATACATCAGTTACCAAAGGACACACTCAGAAGTCTAGTAAATATTGTTGAGATACTGCCTTGGAGCCTCCCCTAAAATTCTCACCCATAGAAATAGATAAAACCCTCAGGACAAAGACCTCCTGGTGTGTGCTCTTCTTTGAGCATGCCTGTGTCCCCTTTCTTCAGGCATATACTTTGCACCTTCTGTCCTAGGGTTCCGGATGAGTCCCAGGGGAACCATGGGCAGCAGCAGCAGCAGCAGCAGCAACTGTCACAGACTTATCCCCGGGTCCTGCCTCCAGGGGGCCCTTCCTTTGCCTCTCTGGCCCAAGCTTTAATAAACTTACCTGGACTCTGTCTTGAAAATTTTCCTGCATGAGTCAAGAATCTGGAGGTTGCCTGACACGTGAAAGGTTCAGGACAGCATGGAAGGAGTCCCCCAACACTATCGTTTGGGACAGTTTTACCTGTGAGAAAACATTTAAGGAACTCCAAAATTACCCTCCCAGTAATAACAGTGACTTGGATTTGGATTGCTGTATAATCCAGAAATCTTAACTATGTGTTTAATAAGAAATTTTCAAAATGCACAGAAGAGAAATATTTCACTGCCTTCTGTCCCCCCCCTGCCCCCCCCCCCACACACACACACACAAACTAAACATGAGTCCACACAGGTACACAACATGGACCATGGACTTTTAAAACCCTCAGTGGGATCATACTATGTATATAGATTTCTGCAATTTTTTTCACTTAATGTTTTTATTGTTAATCCTCACCCAATAATATTTTTTCCATTGATTTTTAGAGAGAGGAAGGGAAGGGGAGAGAGAATCATCAATGTGAGAGATAAATCCATTGATGGGAGCCAGGGAGCCTGCAACCAAGGACATGCCCTTGATAAGAATTGAACCCTCAACCCTTCAGTCTGAGGGACCAACACTATAACCACTGAGCCAAATCAGCTAGGGCTCACTTAATGTCTAAGATCTTCCCCATGGAGTTATTTCAATTTTATGAATATAAAAATATAGAATCTTGCCCTAACCGGTTTAGCTCAGTGGATAGAGCGTCAGCCTGGGGACTGAAGGGTCACAGGTTCAATTCCGGTCAAGGGTATGTACCTTGGTTGCGGGCACATCCCCAGTAGGAGGTGTGCAGGAGGCAGCTGATTGATGTTTCTCTCATCGATGTTTCTAACTATTTCCTCTCCCTTCCTCTCTGTAAAAAATCAATAAAATATATTTTAAATATTGTATCAACACAGTAACAATTTAGCCAATTTCCTTTTTTGTTGTTAATCCTCACCCAAGGATATTTTTTTCCATTGCTTTTCAGAGAGTGGAGGGAGGGAGGGAGGGGGAGAGAGAGAAAAACTGATGTGAGGGAGAGAGATCGATTGGTTATCTCCCACACATGTTCCTACTGGGGGTGGGGAGTGAACCCCCAACTGAGGTACGTACTCTTGACCAGGAATCAAACCCGAGACCCTTTTGTGTGCAGGCCGAAGCTCCAACCATTGCACACACTGGCCAAGGTGCCAATGTTCATCAATATTTACTGTTTTTTAAAAAGCCTCTCAAATACTAGCCTCACTTGTAGGTAAGATTTTTTTTCTTTCTACGTGGGGAAGAACCCAGTTCTGTGTTTCTCTCCAGTGTGTCTCCTTTACTACACACGAAACACTTTACTTAAGGTCACCAAATATGGAGGGTTTTTTCCCCCCACCAAGCAATTCTTTGCAACACCAGCTGCAAAGAATTTAATTCTGACACTATCTACCTGGACATAGACTTACTCCCACAAAACTGTTCCCCACCCTGCTTCAGTTGCCCCTTGCAAGTAATAGGTCCCCAAGTTACCCACAACTGCTGTTCATCTTGGCTACAAATAAAAGGTTTCCATAACCCCTCCTCAGTTTGGATCAATTTGCTCGAGCAGCTCAGAACTCAGGGAAACACGCCAGCAGTTCATTAAAGGATATGATAAAGGACAGAGATGATCAGCCAGATGAAGAGATGCATAGGGTGAGGTCTGGGCGGGTCCCAAGCACAGATTTAGTCCCCATTGAGTTAGGGTGCCAGCCTGCAAGTTCTCCAAACCTCCTATGATTGGGATTTTATGGAATCTTCCTCACATGGGTAAGTGACTCCATTTCCAGCCCTTCTTCCCTCTCTGGAGTAGGAGGGATAGGTCTGGAAGTTCCAAGCTTTTTCTAATCTTTCTGATGACCAGTCTCCATCCAGGAGCCCACTCAGTCACCTCATTGGAACAAAATAAGCTTCTAGTGCTCTTACTTAGAAAATTACAAGGGTTTTAGGAGCTGTGCCAGGAACTGGGGTCAGGGACCAATACATATATTTTCTATTATCTCACACACGAGAAGCCTGGTGCATGAAATTCGTGCACAGTGTGTGTGTGTGTGTGTGTGTCCCTCAGCCCAGCCTGCACCCTCTCCAATCTGGGACCCCTCTCACAATCCAGGACTGCTGGCTCCCAACCACTCACCTGCCTACCTGATTGCCCCTAACCGCTTCTGCCTGCTGGCCTGATCACCCCCTAAACACCCCTGCCAGCCTGATCAACGCCTAACTGCTCCCCTGCCAGCCTGGTCGCCCCCAACTGCCCTCCCCTGCAGGCCTGATCACCCCCAACTGCCCTCCCCTGCTGGCCATCTTGTGTCCACATGGGGGCGGCCATCTTGTGTGTTGGAGTGATGGTCATTTTGCATATTACCTCTTTATTATATAGGATTATACACATCTCTATATGAATTTTTAAAAGTGGGGTTGTCAGTAGAGAGATTATGTGGTGAAACTTGGACACATATTGTCATATTCTTTTTTTTCACAGTTAAGCCATTTTATACTCCCCATCAGAAATAATTCTTTGCTCATATCCTCGGCAACACTGATGATTGCTTATCTTAGGCAAAATAATGAAGCTGAGCATCTTTATCCATGCTGTAACCAATCAATCCTATTTTTTTATTTTTATTAATCCTCACCCGAGGATATTTTTTTCCATTGACGTTTAAAGAGTGTGGAGGGGATGGATGGAGGGGAGAGAGAAAAACATCGACATGAGAAAGAATATCAATTTGTTGTCTCCTGCACAGACCCCAACCCAGGCTGGGATGAAACCTGCAATCCAGGTATACTAGTATGCCCTTGACCAGGAATTGAACCCAAACCCTTCGATACGTGGGCCAATGCTCTAACCACTGAGCAACCCACCAGGGCCTCACATCTGTTTTTATGATCACCAGCAGTATGTCTGCCTAGGAATACCTTTCCTATCCCATTATAAAAGTCTTTACCCATCTTTTCCTGTAGTACCTTCCCGCTTTCATTTTCTGATAAAGTCCATGAGCCATCTGGAATGTGTTGCCAGAGGCAAACAGAAGCATCTTTACCTTTCCCCAAATGTATAGCACATTAATCCAGCATCATGTCAAATAATTTTTCCCCCCACTGATCTATAGACCATTTAAGGGACCATTTTTCTTTTTTTACAAGTAATATATGCACATGGTATGAAAATGAAATAGCATAAAGGGGCACACAGTGAACTGTAATCTATTACCCCTCATTTTCCTCTGGAGGCAATCCAATTAATAGTTCAGTGTCTCCTTTCAGATATTTTGCATATGCAAACAGAACTGTAACAAATATCCTTATAATTATTGTTCATAATGCATAAGTAAATCAATAAAACTCCTAAAAGTAGAACCTGATAGGTCAAAGAATATGGGCATTTGAAAACCTGATATTATCAAGTTGTTCTCCAAAGATATTGCACCATAAATTTATACTTCCACTAAAATATGTGATAGTTCAGTATTCTTCGAGATTGAGATAATTTTATTGGCTCTGGTGTCCTCTGCAACGTAGGCAGCACAACAGTTAACAAAT